CAGCTCCTAGCTAATAAAAGCATTCCATACATTTACACAGGTGTGTTAGGTACATAGCCCCCTTGTAGTACTTAAACATACATTATACATATACATTATGCATATATATCACTGTTGTCGGAACAAAACCTTGTATCTCCAAAATGGTAACTTTACAGGAGAAGGAAAAAGTCATTTTGGGCCGTTTCTTTCGGTCCATTTATCATGAAATTTACACGCAATATGAAGGTTTTCAAGTATTTTCAGATTATGTCAAAAACTGAAAAACAACAAAAATGAAGATATGAGGTTTTCTTCCGACAACAGTGATATAAATATGCACACACATACATTAGACTCTAAATATATACACATATACACAATATACACATCAGTATGCACACAGTATTGCACCATTCCAATGTACAGTGTTTGTACAGTAATATAAGTTATGAAATACAAGCTATAATATGTACAATTGTACACATTTCCATATATGCAATATGTGAGTGTAGAGGCAGATAAATAAGATGCAGGGTACACAGTAAATACAATATCAATATATATTCCAGATTCCGGAACATATTCCAGATTAATTCCAGGTGTTTAAATGCTCCAGCAGCACTGCTGTGTCCGATCCACTCAGACCAGCACAACACACACTAACACAACACCACCACATCAGTGTTACTGCAGTGCTGAGAATGATCCACCACCCAAATATTACCTGCTCTGTGAGGGTCCATGGGGGTCCTGACCACTGAAGAACAGGGTAAAAGGGGCCTAACAAAGTATGCAGAGAAACAGATGGACTACAGTCTGTAACTGTAGAACTACAAAGTGCACCTATGTAGTAAGTGGAGCTGATAAATGGACAATGAGCGTAGAAACAAGGTCATAATGTTATGCCTGATCAGTGTAGAATGCAGTACAATTGGAAAATATACGTTTCTTACAATATAGAATTATATTGAAATAACTTTGTTTGCACTGATTCTCCAAACTAGCAAGTGTTAAGCCACCCATGGGCTAAACTGTAACACTGCACTCTCATTTTCGGTGGTATTGCACATGAATGGTAGGTGACAGAAACAAATTTCAAGCGTTTGTTTGTAGCAGAGATGTATATTTTGCTTGTATAAAAACATGATTATTCCTACTTATATATATTTTTTAATTATTTTGCCAGTAACACAACATATTAGGTTGTGCCCCTCTCTCCTCTACTTGACAGCTTCTTTCCTCAGAGTTGAACCTGAAAAAAAGTTTTGAAAAAAGACAATAAAGGAAAGAAAAGGAGAGGAAAGACAGACACCCACAGTTTTACCAAAGCTGCAGCTGGTGTTGCTTGTGTAAAGGTGCTGGAAGCAATGGAGAATTGGTATTAAGAATACTTATGAAATTAAATGTTGGCTCAGGTATTTCCTGTTCTCCTTCTCTCAGTTTCCCCCAAATACACACAGTCTGTATTCCTGTTTTTGTGGGTTCTTTGCATTGACGGCTCTAGGTATACAGCTAATTTCACACTTTTGAAGTTGCAACTACAAAGTTCACGAGTGCTCTGGAGTCAGAAACATGGAAGTTGGGCATGGGAAAATGGATCTTGACGGTGAACATTAGGGAGTTACACTCTTACAAATAAAGGTTCTTAAAAGGTTCCTGGCTAAAACTGGTATTTTGTGTCAGTTCCTCAAATTGGCTCCTCACACTTTCACATCTCATTTACAAAAGTGGTTCATTAAAGAGCCATCCACTGAAAGGTTCTTTGGGGAACCAAAAAAGGTTTTTTATGTAGGAACGCTTGTCTTCCCCCATTCCCCCCATTTTAACAGTAAACATAATATGAACAAAAATCTTAAATATAAAGGTGCCACTAAAGGTTCTTAATGCACGGAATAACCACTTTCCAAAAGAATCTTCTAATGGATGGTTTTAATGGTGGTTAATCCAACACTTTAGGTCTTCAGTTCAGCTCCTCAAGGCCTAACCAATGAGAGCTCACTTTGATTGTATCTAGCTAGATACCACAGAGAAAAAACCCAACTGGGTGTTTCAAGGATTTAACCTTTTTGTTCCCAATCGAAAAACCTGAAATAAGAGTAGTACAATACTTCCATCCATCCACCTTCTAAGCTACTTATCCTTCTGGGTGGTGGAGGGTGCTGGTTCCAGCATTCATCAGGCGGAAGGCAGGAAACACCCTGGACAGGTCGCCAGTCCATTGCAGGGTGGACACACAGGCATACACATTCACACCTAGGGCAATTTAGCATCAGTTTAGCAACTCCAACCCGGAGGAAACCCACACAGACACAGGGACAACATGCAAACCTCACCCAGAAAGGACCCTGGTCACCTGGTCGGGCAATCTAACCTTCCTGTGAAGATTCCTGTAAAAATTACTTCTCAGAAGGCCTAAAAGGCCAGTTTGGTAGTCCTTGTTCCAGTACCAGGACTACCAAACTGGGATGTGTGGGTGGAGCTAGAAATAGTATAGACTATTGATTGGTCAGATGCGATCATCACAAAATGGTCATGTGTTGTCACTCAATGTCTAAAAAATATACCAGCTGGCCAGAATTATTTTATATGACTGTTGTATATGAACAATAAATCAGATCAGAAAGCCCTTTTGTTGCAACCGTGTTTTGTGGTTTCTGTTAACACCAATCTGGGAAACCTCCAGAGACTCATGACTACTTGTATTGCTGTGCGGATTGTCTTGGGTTCAGATTAGTAACAGTAACATGCTGCAGCACACTGTCCAGTGGGAAACCTCCTGCACTCACCCTCCCTTCCCCTGCCCTTTTCCCACAACATAAAATGCATATTTTCAATATATTTATAAGTCCGTCGAAAAACATGCTTGGTTCATATTTTAATACCTTTTTAAGGCCTTTAATTTGTCCCTAAAGCCCATCTCGTCCCTCTTCTCCTTCTGTAGCAGGGTAAACAGCAGGTCAGGAGCCCTTTCCGTGTCTGCCGCTGATCCTGTCTGTTCCCTGCAATGGGATGCTACTGCGTGACAGCAAATGTCCCAGGACTCTTCCTGTACCTGCCAAGCATCAAACACGCTCCAGCCCCCTTTTCCCACAATAGCAGCACAAGCTGGCCAACTGACTTCCTAATTGTCGCTGGCTCTGCACTGGGCCCGTCCAGGGGGGCCTCAGCACCCTCATTCTGGACTCTCATTATTGGTCTGCACGCAATGACCCAGCCCACCCTGGGGCCAGCGGCACCAAGATGACACGCACAGTCAGAGACTGAAAAGATGGTTCATACACTGACGTTCAGCAGTCAGAAGTTTGGAAACAGTAATGTTTACCTAGTCTGACACAGTAGTTTTTAGCTTGGATTATATTGGGTCAAACCAAAATGTTTACAAGAGTTGTATGTAAGACCAGGAGGGAATTTTACAAAGGAGGATTTCTCAGTTAGGGCCCAAAAACAAGCCTGTCCAATAGGAGAAGAGCTAAGGAACATTCCTATTGGACAATCCTCAACTGTTGGCTAAAGTTATCCAGCTTACTGAGAAATCCTGCTGTGTGAAATACCCCCCCTAGTTCATTTATAACCCTGTTTACATTGCAGAGCAGCATAGTCTGACCTTATAGCATGAAACACCTCCCTCATGATGCAGTTAAGTGCATCCACGTGTGAGTTTCCTGCTGTTTAAACATGTTTGAGGCATCTAATGATGTGTATTTCTGACATGTTTAGCATGAAAGATTTAAAAAAAAAAAGTTTTTTTTTCTTTCTCCAAAAGTTTGTTTTGATGGTCACCAGACATCCAGACTCACAAAAGCTCAGTGTAAAGGTCAGTGGGGTCATCAAACTTGAAAAGTCAAGCCAATATCCATCTGGACCACATCTTTTAATCATGCTAAGCTTAGTATGACCTTAGTTAGGTCATGACCCATGTTGCTTGCATGGTCATAGCTTAGTAGCTTAGTGTGCATGTAAATGTTGTTAATGTCTTCAAAACAGTTTAGTCGCAGATGAATGCTGATGATTCTAAAATGCTAGTGACATGTAACTTCATATGTTTGTACACTAATCTGTAGAAAGGCTGGGAAGCTGCAAGGGTTTCCAGAGTGATGAAGAGAGATCTAGAAGATTCTAAAATGAAAGAAGAAGCTGTAGAACACTGAGAATGAGGTTATAATATAGTCAACATCCATGCTGATCAGATCTTTAGGAATTACTGCAAATTGGTAAGTGTTGTTTTTTCAGTTATTTAATAATGTTTGTTGGTTGTTTTCCAAAAAATAAGTTATTGAATAAAATATCTAAAAATACATTTTGGTGTCCAGTTTGTAATGTTTAGCTCTGTATGTTATTATTGCATTATAGCAAAGGGAGACTTGATTTAAATGCACTATAAAGATTCATGAGCGCTTGATTTTCAGAATTTGCAGATTTCAATAGATTTCAATGCTGCAACAAGTATAAACCCCAGCAGAACTCCATACCTGTTCATCAAGATTATTACTGTTGAGGGTCCTCGACATGATCAAAAGTACATTTCGACCGCAAGTCCACTGAAAATCCATAAAACAAGTCTAAATCCCCTCACTGGCCACTTTATTAGAAACCCCTCCCTTGTAGCTCCATCTTGCTGGTGTACAGTTTAAGACTGTAGCTCATCTGTTGATGTACAGCCATTCTGTAGTCCTTCATCAGTTTTCAGTTTCTGTCCACTCTTTGTACCACACACATTATCATGTCAGTGTCACTGTTGAGCAGAGAATGATCCACCACCCAAATAATACCTAGATAACAGTGGTCCTGAGACACTGACCAATTATGAACAGAAAGAAAATGCGTAAAATATGCAGCAACAGATGGACTACAGTTGGTAATTGCACACCTATATAGTGGACCTACAAGACAGGCTCATTAAGTGGCCAGAGAGTGGAAGCATAATGTGGGTGTTTCTAATAAAGTGACCAGAGAGTTGAAGTACAAGGTGTCTGTCAAATAAAGTGGTCAAAATGTCCAAAAATATGAGCGCATTTCATTCAAACATCTACTTCTTCAACAGGCTGTCCTGACTTCAGTTTCAAAATGACCTAGAAACAGAGAAATGAGAGAAATGGAGAGAATGTTTGATCTAAAAATTGAGTGATGCTTTTAAAATGCTACCACAATCCAGTTACACAGAAGTTCACACCTCTTTGAGCTGAGCGATTTCTTTGCTCTCCGTGTTTCTTTGTGCATGGTTGGTGATGGCCTTCACTCGGGAGGCATATCTGGATTAGAAAACATACCCATTTCACATAAGGTGATATTTCTTTTCTATTTAATATTATTATCTGAAACTCCAGTTCTGGTTTCACTTCATGTACACATATAGCAGTAAGAGTCATACTGATATTTAGTTGTTATGAGGTCATTTCTCACAGCAGATTTTATGGATTTAACGCACTGAAACCTTCACATCAAGTCCAATGCGATGCATTAAGTAAGTAGTAACAATGTTTATATCATTTTTTTAGCCTGTGCAACTCAAAGATGCAAACACTAGAAAACCGCCCATTCTGCTAAAATCACAAATCACAGAAAGTCACAAATAACATAAGGACATATTTCAGGAGCTGAAGCTCTGTCATCTGTATGCAGGGATGGGGGAGTGCACTACTTTGTGTAGCTAACTACAGATTTTTGTAGCTAATAGCTGTAGCTGCTGCAGTTTTATGAAATGTAGCTAATAGCTGTAGCACCTACAAATTTTTGTGTAGCTATAGTGATAATTTTCGCTACAATTTCACTACAGGTTTCAGGCAATAGGCGCAAAATTTGAACCATAGACCGTGGCTGTTAACTGGGCTGGTGGCGATTGTGCAATCCTGACTGAGTCACGGACAGTTCGAGCAAACAGTCACGCGCTGATCACCCCTTACTAGTAGGCTCAGCTCAGGTCGGCAACTGAAATGTTAAGAGCCATTTTGTCCTTTCAACAAACATGAAACCACCTTGGGAGCCACAATATTTTATATCCGTTTTACCATCATGGCTGCTGTAAGTATGTCTCAGTGTGTGCTAATGTGCTAGTATAGGCTAAAAATTTAATAGAAATGAAAACGCAGATTTACTTTGCTCTGCTTTAAGCTTTAGGCCAGCTGTAGCTGCTTTTCTCGCACCTCAGTCAGGAAAGAACAGTTTTTTGTAAAATGTCTCTCAACATTCAACCTTTTACAGAGCTGAAGTCACTTCTCATTCACCAGCTTCTTGTTCGAATTGTGCTGTTCCAGCTTAAATGGTGCCTGAGTCCCCAGGATGTACTAGATAAAAATCTAGTGCTGCTGTGGAGCCGCAACAGGGCAGTTAAAGAGCCGTGTGTTGCCGAGCCCTGGCTTAGCTAAAGTGGAAAAGAAACTTTTGTTATGGACTATCACTAATAGTACTGCACAGAGCCAGGGTCACTGATGACAATTTTGAGGGCTAAAGTGTTGCTGAAGTTTAACAAAGTACTGTCATGTCTGTACAAATCTTGCTGAAATGTCTAAATTGGAGAAAAATTGTTTGGTTTCTATTCGGTTATTTTTGTAGATTTTTTTGAAAACCTGGAATGATTGACCTTACCCTTACTTAGTCTAAATTTCTGTTGGATATCACGCTTTGGTTGTGTAAGTTTGATTGTTCGTTACATTTAAACTCACTTTTTGGTGATCTTTTTGTATATTTGACGCTTTTCAATTGTATGTTTCTTTCTGGCACATGATTAAATGCAGTGTCTTGTTCACACTATCAGTTGGGCTTGTTTGGTGTGTCAGGTGGAGATTCACAAACATTCTTACAATCGCAGTTTGAAATAGTCACTTCTTTTCAAAACGTAGCTAAAAAGTAGCCACTGCTTTTTCTGGAAAAGTAGCTAAATTGTAGCTGCTACAAATTTTGGGAAAGTAGCTACAAAGTAGATACCTATTAATTTTTCAGTAGCTGTTCCAACCCTGTCTGTATTTATGTGTGAGATCAAGGTTCTGCTTCAACTCTTTACATTTCCCAAACTGAAAGCTTTAAAATGAATCTGTAACATTTGTAGTTAGACTAATAGCATTCCACAGTGTACTTCTCAAATACTGTGTTTTCTTCTTTTGAATGATAGGGGGTTGTTTGCAGTTAAAAAGTGTCTATGTTGTTGAATATATATGTGATTTACTCTTAGTAAAAGTACATAAATATATACCATATGTGTGAGAGTGTATTCATGTCTCACATGAGTGAGGTAAGGGTCTCGTCCAGGTTGCAGTCAGAAGGGGAGATGTTGAGGAACATGAGAGTTTTGGCGTTGCCCCCCAGTGAGTCCTGCATGAGCTGGGTCAGCTTATTGTTGCGGTAGGGCACATGGGATTGCTCCATCGCCAGAGCTGAAATCACATCACCCAGTGCACTCAGAGATTTGTTGATAGAGTTTGCTTCCTGCAGATAACAAATTACACACATTGAACATTAGGCAAATCCCTATCTGAATTCATAACAGCTGCAATGCCATTATTTCCAATATTCACATATGAAATACTCTGTGTTTATTAGTTTGTTGCAGAAAACTAAGACTGAATATTTCTGCCTCAAAGCAGTGGGTTCCTAGACCTCCTCCTGCAATTAATAAGCCTTTTTGAATTAAAGTTGGTGTGTTGGATCAGGAAAAAAAACTAAAATGTTTTCCAGGACCAAATTTGGAGAATTGAATTAAGACCTTCATGCCCAGTTAGCAAATGTGGTTTGTTGCATCCTTGGTTTGTTCTGGCCCAATATATGGCTGGGTCTTCGGCCCAGATCTGGCCCACACACTGTATAGTGAGTAGATCTAAAGGATATGGCCCAAATTTGGCCCCAATCTGGACCAACTACATTGCTGGTCCACAACATTCATGCCAAAATTGTCCCACGAATGTAGACACAAGGCAAAACTGTATGCAGCTGTCCAGGATCTGACCCTATTCAAGCCTGCAAGACTAGTAATTACTAGGTAGTCAACCAACACTCACATAGGAAAGACAGAATTGGACCAAAACTGTATGCTATCTGGGTGACCTTTGAACCTCAGACATAGTTAATGTTGATTAACAGATGACTTTGACATAATATCTTTTCTAAACAACATCTGCTTGAATTATTTTAGCTTTTGTGGCATGAATGAACCTTGAGCTGGTCATCTTTTGCCCCTGTCTTCGCCGCTCTCTCGCTACCAGCCAGGTCGACAAGGTTGAGCTTCCCGAAGCTGACGCTGCCATTGGTCAGGTTGCGGCTCTCCAGCATGATGCTAAAGATCAGGTGAGATCGAGAGCTCTCCACATTCATCTCTATCAGAGAGAAGAAGTCAACAATCAACACAGTCACAACACAAAAGAGTTACAAATCAATTCAGTCACAACACAGCAGGGTTACCAATCAACAGCAGAGCCCCCCATTCAACACAGACACAACACAGCAGCTATCAATCAACACAGACACAACACAGCAGAGTTACCAACCAAAACACTGTGGAGTCTGGTGTTTTGAATTTATATGATTCAACTGTGTCAAGTGAATCATGAATCATTTTTCGGTATAAATTGGTTAATGTTCAGTATGTACACATCTTGACACACTTAAAACTCTTCATACATTTTTGTTTCATTTGATTCGATCCATTAAAGTATGCCTGGCTAGATTCTAACACCGGTCTATTGGACTGGATCAGAACGTCTCTAATTAAAACTTCAAAGTGACTCATCCTCTTCCTGCCCCTCCAAACGCCACTGAAACAAACAGATGCATAATTCAGAATCTCCCTTTGAAGCCATCCCACCTAAGCAATGATGTCCATATGGTGCTATATGTGTGAACTGACTATGGCTAACATGATTAATCCAAACCATTTAACATGGACAGCACATACTGGTGGCGGCTATACGGCGGTTAGCGCAGCCTTGCTCGAACAGGGCGAAGAGCTCTCCGGCACTGGTTGCCTCCTTTGTCTCTGCTCCCTGGGCAAACACAAGCCCCTTTTTGTCCTTCTTAATTTCGATCCGCTTGGACAACGCCTCAGCCGGGCTCACAAAGAGGTCCTGTAGCCGGTCATTATACAGCTCCAGCATGGAGGCTGAAACCTGGGGTTGGATATGGCAGAAGAAGGGAGGGGAGGATAATAATTACCTTATTGGAATAGTACCTTTTGATGTGTTACAAGTAGTAGTGCAACTCAAAATAAAGGTTACTATTCAAGGTATCAGGTACCTGCAGCCACATTTTAGTACTCTTTCAACAACTGATGTGCCTGAGTGAGACTGTCAGTGGCTGTAGTATGATTAAATGGAACCAAATGAAAAAGTGGACTGGAACTGACCAGACAGGACGAGACAGGAGGAGAAAAGAAGAGAGCAGAGCAAAAGAGAAGAAGATAATAGACTTGAAGAGAAGAGACCAGATGAGAAGAGGAGAAACCAGAAGAGAAGAGAAAAAACCATACCAGTAGAGACCTGATCAGTAGAGAAGAGAAGTGAAGAAAAAAGACCAGAAGATAGGAGACTAGATGAGACCAGAAGAGAAGAGACCAAACCAGAAAAGAAGAGAACAGCAAAAGAGAACAGAGCAAAAGAAAGGATAAGAGACTAGAAGAGAAGAGAAGAGAAGAGATAGGAGACCAGATGAGACTAGAAGAGAAGAGACCAGACCAGAAAAGAAGAGAACAGAGCAGAAGAGAAGAGAAGAGAAGAGAAGATATGAGACCAGATGAGACCAGAAGAGATCAGAACAGAAAAGAAGAGAATAGCAAAAGAGAACAGAGCAAAAGAGAGGATAAGAGACAAGAAGATAGTAGACAATAGAACATAAGACATAAGACAACAGATGAGTGAATGAAACCAAAGGTGTCTCTGAAACAACAGTACAGCATTTAACTCAAACTCACCTTGAACTCGAATTTCATCTCGTTCTCCTGGATGATTTCAAAGACTCTAGTGAAGGTTCTGGGTATGATTCCAGGGTTTTTATGCTCTCTGTCCCCCACCATAGTAAAGGTTTTCCCAGAGCCGGTCTGCCCATATGCAAAGATGCACACATTGAAGCCATCAATTGCTGACTGGATGAGCCTTGGGGGTAGAACACACAATCAACTACGGCATTCTCCTCACTATGGACTTTTTGAAACAGAGCTACAATTGCTCAAGTCCTTTCTACTCTTGTTCCCCCACCTGCTGGACTCCTGAAACACCTCATCCTGATTGCTCTCTGCGGTGAAGATCCTATCAAACTGAAACTCCCGTGGTCCTCGAGGAGTTTCCAGTATGACAGAGTAGTCATCCAAACATGACACAATGGAGCTTCTACCCTTTGCTAGCTCCGCCCGCGTCTGAGGCCTTATGCGGCAGAGCACTCGGATCTTACCTGTTCAAAGCATATGAACAGACTCAATGGCCACTTTATTAGAAAACACTAGTTTTAGTTGCTAGTGTCACTGTACCGCAGCCCTGTGGTCAGAAATTGGTCAATGAATAGGGTAAAGGGAGGCCATCAAGCAACAGATGATCTACAGTCTGTAATTGTGCATCTACTTAGTGAACCTGTAATGTAGGTGTTTCTAATAAAGTGGCCAGGGAGTGGAAGTACAGGGTAGGTGTTTCTAATAAAGTGGCCAGTGAGTGAAAGTGCAAGGTAGGTGTTTCTAATAAAATGGACAGTGAGTGGGTGTACAAAGTAGCTGTTTCTAATAAAGTGGCCAGTGAGTGAAAGTACAAGGTAAGTGTTTCTGATAAAGTGGCCAGTGAGTGGACATTCAACATGGGTGTTTCTGATAAAGTGGCCAGTAAGTGGAAGTACAGGGTAGGTGTTTCTAATAAAGTGGCCAGTGAGTGGAGGTACATTGTAGGTATTTCTAATAAAGTGGCTAGTGAGTAGAAGCATAAGGTTGGGTGTTTCTAATAAAGTGGCCAGTGAGTAGAAGTACAGGGTAAGTGTTTCTAATAAAGTGGACAGCTTTGCGAGCTTGGTTGTGTTTAAAGGCCTACAGGTCAGGGGCTAGGCTAGCGGTCAGGATTGGTTGACACCACAGGGATTCCCAATGGTTATTTTATGTATTTGCATAATTGCATGATTGTAGTGAGAAAACATTCAATGAAAACACAAAAAGGATGCAAAACTGTGAATTTTGTCAAACTGATAAAGTGGAGGGATGTAATGCTGCTACAGAATTTTACAAAACATGATAAACAACATAATAAATGGCAAATATTGGCCCTTTAACGCTTGGATCCTACCCATTCAGAACAAAACATCTGTACATGTACAGCACTGTGCTTCAGGCACTAGTGCCAACTATTCTGTTTATGCTGTGGTACATATATATTTTAATACATTGCAAGCAGATTGGGCCATATACATTCTGGCTTTTACTAGCAAGCTCTATCTTGTTTATTCTCCTGCTTGTTCTGGCACTGACCTGTATTTCTTTTGGACCTGATCGCATATAATTAAAAAGCAGAAAGAATGCCTGGGAAAGTTGGAACATTCTCTGGAACACATCCATTTGAAGACAAAAATAAGACCAGGCCATTTTAGATCATGTTATGTCTGGCTGTGGCTCCTACGAAAAACAAATTTGTTCATCCCCTGCATTTCACCTCATGACAGGTTGAGTTTATAGATGATAAGTGAATTAGTAAGAGAGTCGATGTACCTTTCATATCTTCCACCATGTTGTAGTATTTCTTCCTCAAGGTTCGCTCTGCAGTGTAATTGTCTATGATCTTCTTGTTCTCATCTTTGACCTGTTTCAGCTACGAGAGAAAGAGCAGTATCATGAAATTACCCCTTTAGCATTACCATTGTGGGGTTATAACACTGGGGCATGCATAAACACTGTGGACTTGTGGTAAAGAGATTAAGCAAAGTTCTAGGTCAGGATCATCAGTTCTGGTCCTGGAGGGCCATGGACAAGCATAGTGGTGTTTAAGTGCTCCCGAGTGGCGCAACTGTTGGGAGTTAAATCCCAGGCGATACCACAGCCATCCATGACTGGGAGTCCAAGAGTCCATAATTGGTGGATGGTCCCTCCCCAAATTGCTCAGCAAGATCCTAACCAACATGGGAGTCTGTTAGCTGATGTGACAAAATTAGCAATTAGTGTTCAACTCTAAGCGTGTCGAGCTGTCTAATAAAGCTTCACATGTTGTGGTTGTATCATGACGGGGAAGAACTCGATGATAGCAATTGAACAAGACTAAGTTACATACCAACAAAAATACCAGATTTGACAGAGAAATGATTAAACTATGCTAGGATCTGACCTTCCAGGACCAGAATGTATGATCCCTGCCCTACAAAGATGCAATTGCCCAATGTTTCCCAGTTGTGGTCCTGCTAGTCATCTAATCTGCACACAGCAAAAACACCATGACTTAAATTGACATTGTAAATGTTAAAGAACTAAAAACACAATGTTTTTATCCCATTTTTAATTTGTTTTTAAAACGTATGCTTCTGTAGTAAGATAAGATGCGAAAATGACTTGTAGTCTTTAAGGCACAGAACTGTATCCAGTTTTAGGAATTAGAAATGGATTTCTGAACCATTATTAACGCCTTAAAGGCAAGGCAAGTTTATTTATATAGCACCTTTCATACACTGCTGTCATTCAAAGTGTGTTATAAATAAGAAAATACATAAAATCCAAGGCATATTACATAATAAGACTTATTATTCAGTAACTACATGGACTTTCATGCAAACTGGTTGAGTTATTCTTAGGTTATAGAAGTGTGTAGAAAAACTTTAGACCAAGTGGGGAGCCCTGGCCATTTAAGGGGTTAAAAACGCCCAGATGCATGTTTTTTTTAAAAAATACACATAATCATTAGGATGTAGTGTGAACCCTGGTTGGCTGTTCTGACCTCTGCTTGCAGCTGTAGCAGCTGCTGACCCACACTCTTCCCAGCCTCAACATTCAGGTAGTTGCTCTTTCTGAAATTCTCCTCGAAGGTCTGCAGATCATAATTAAAGACCATAATGAAACATGTAGCTGAAATTGCTTCTAGATCAAGGATGCTTCATAATACACAATCTTCAAAATGCTTTGACGCCATATTGTTTGCCATGCTTTACAACATGGATGCCCTCTGCTCTTGGAGATCTACTGACCTGTTGAGGTGATTTCATTTAATACATGATCAAATAGATCGTGAGAAAAGTACATCTAATTTTCTTGTCCAGTATTGTTGATTTTCTAAGTGAAAATATGTCAGCCTGTCCTCTACAAAGAACATATTTCTGCACATTTTAATGCACAATTACTGGTTACTTGCTGAATTTAACATATCATGAACAAAAACAAAACCTAATGCAAAAGAAGTTATGGCACATATTGTATTTTATGTTTTACAGTTGTAAAGTCCACCAAGTCCCATAATACCTGACAAATCATGTGGCAATACCACATTAGACCATGTGCACTAATGCACCCCCATACCATCATGAATGCTGGCTTTTGAACTGTGCACTGATAACAAGCCATATGGTCCATCTCCTCTTTAGAACAGAGGACGTGGCATTCGTGGTTTCCAAAAACCAAAAACAATTTCAACATTTGATTTGCCAGACCACAGGACACTTTTTCACTTTGCCCACTCTATCCAGCTTAAATGAGCTTGGGCCCAGAGAAGACAGCAGCGTTTCTGGATCCTGTTCATATATGGTTTCTTCTTTGCATGGTAGAGTTTTAAGTTGCATTTGTGGATGCGGCAATGGACTTTGTTCAGACAGTGGTTTTTGGAAGTGTTCCTGAGCCCATGCAGTGATTTCCACTACAGAATCATGTCTGTTTTTAATGCAGTGCTGCCTGTGTGCCCGAAGATTACAGCCCACCAATATTAGTTTTCGGCATTGTCTCTTGCATACAGAGATTTCTCTGAAACTTTTAACAATATTATGAACCATAAATTATGAAATTCCCAAGTTCTTTGCTAATGTACATTGAGAAACATTATTTTTGAATTGTTCCGTCTTTCACAGAGTGGTGGACCCCTTCCCATCTTTACCTCTGAAAGATTCAGCCTCTCTGTGATGCACTTTTTACATCCAGTCTTGTTACTGAGTGCTGCCAATTAACCTAATTAGCTGTGAGATGTTCCACAAAGTGTTTCTCTTTGGATTACACAACTTTACCAGTCTTTTGTTGCCCCCATCCCAACTATTTTGAAATGTGTTGCTGGCATCAAATTCAAAATAGGCATATATTTGTCAAAAAGTTATGCAATTTCTCAGTTTCAATATTTGATATGTTGGTTGACTTTGTACTATTTACAATTAAATAGAAGGTTTAAATGACTTCACATCATTGTATTCTGTTTTTATTTACATTTTGCAAAGCGTCCCAACTTTTTTGGAAACAGGGTTGTAGATATATTGTATTTTGATACAATATCATGACACCACATGAGCATAACCAATAGTTAGTTCAGATTAGGTGACAAGACACTCTGTCCCTTTATCAGTCTGTTTTAAACATGTCTACCCACAGCCTAGACTAGATTTTAGTTTTTTCTAGCTAATGTTAGCAAGGTAGCTAACAGGCTGTGTAGATACCTTAACTCGATTTGGTTCGTCTTCCACTCTGCATCATTTTCCAGGTTATGTAGATATCCTAACTTAGTTCAGTTCATTTTCGACTCTGCACTCTGCAATGTTTGCCACTGCTTGGTTCTGTTTATTAGCCTGTAGATCAGTGGCTAGGCTAGCAGTCAGGATTGGTTGACACCACAAGGATTCAAAATGGATGTATGATGTCCAGCATTTGCATAATGAATGCTGAGTAAGAGAACAGTGAAAGAACGAAAGCATGAAAATGACAGAAAATTGTGAATTCTGTTAAACCAGACAAATAAACAAAGTTTTGACTAGGAATGCCCTTAAATGTATGGAGGGCCTTCTCTGCATGAGAATGTGTGGGTGTGTTTGTGAATACTTTGACATACTCTGATGGTCTCATCCAGCGCTGCCAGATTATCTTCACTGATGGGCCCTGAATAAAATTATACGATATCAACTTTTTAAAGTAGCACCACAGTTTTTAAGCAACACCAAGTCATTTGCAAAGACTTCAATGTATCTGGCTGGTTAACCAGATAACTGAAACCCAAAGTCAAGCCTGTCCAACTACAGGAGAGGTAAGAACTGTTCGTACTGGACAGTACTTACTTCAGTTATCCAGCGTCCTGCTTTGTGAAATAACCACATCTTGTTTTTTTTGTTTACCAGTGATGGTGGGTGTAGCCCCTGTCTTGATGCACTCCAGCGCCACCTGTATGACCTCATGCTTCTGCAGCCTGACCCGAGTCAGGTCACTGACATCTGATTTGTCCTTCCTATTACAGCATATGAGAATATAGCATGGA